TTTTTTTTTTTTTTTTCTTTTTTTCTTAATATTTTATTTGCATCGAGTCGCAAAGACAAGGAAAGGGTACCTAAATTAAAGTATAAAAAAGAAAAAAGAGGAGAACATTTGACAAACGTGAAATTCCTGCGATTCAAGGTTACGAGGATTTGTACACTTTCATTGGCATAAATTACGTTTCGACGTGGCCCTGCAACTGGCCCACTATCTTCCTCACCCAACCCGCTTGACTCTGCCCCGCCGACACGTCGTCCTTCTCCTCGCCACTGTTTCGCGCGCAGTTGCTGCTCTCGGCAGAACGATACGCTCCATTTTCGGGCACGAGAGACGAAACTTTACAGTCCAGTTCATCACGCTGCCCCTTCAGCAGAGCCGACTTCAGCTTCAGGTAGTCGGGTTTCTGTGCGACGCTGGGTTTGTATCTCGCCGTCGCAACGCCACGTCCTGACGGATTGATCGCCTCTGCTCTCTTCTTCGCCGGCACTGGAGGTGCCACCTTGTTCTTGAACGGTGGAGAGTCGTCGGACGGTTGGCTCGATTGCGGCCTGGCCACCAGAACCTCCTCGACGTCGCTGAATATTGCACTGTCCCGGAACGCGTCGTCAACGTCCACGTCCACGTAGTTCTCGATCGTCTCGAACGATCTTTCGTAGAAACTGTCAGTCTCACTCTCTCGGTTCTCCGTGCTCTCCTCCTCCTCCTCGTCGTCGTCGTCCCTCTTCTCTTCCTTCGCCTGTTGCGTTTGCTGGCCGAGCCGTCTGCTCTCGAAGAACAAGACGGTCGGGTCCGCGTAGTCAGACTGAGCGATACGAGCACCTAAACCGGAGCTTCCTTGTTTGTAGTACAGCGAGGGCACTCTCGCGTCTGAACTGCCTGCCCTGGCCGTGCATCCCACGAGCTCTTCCACGTCCGACGACGACTCCCTCGAATGCTTCGTCTTGCCCTTCTTCTTCAACTTACCTGCGCTCAAAGAGCGAAAGTACTTGGTTCTCTCTAGTTCCTCGCTGCACTCTAAAGTCTCGGTGCTCATGGTGTTCCTCAAGCCTTGAAGGCGATTGCCAGCCTTGGACAGCACGTTCTTGAATATCGTGCTGCCGCTAGTGGTGTTCGTCGCCCTGTAGATTTTATGATCGGGATGGATGTTCGTGGTCGTGGACGACATGTGAATCTCCGAGTAAGCGTCCGTCAGTGTGTCGTCCAACGAGCAGAAGAACGTGGACGTGGACGTCGAAACGGAGGTCGGGAATTTGGCGATTCTGCCCTCTGGCTGGCACGTGGACGCGTACCTTTCCATGTCCTCCAGATTGATCTCCGCTGGCTTGTCCGAGGCTATGGTAAACGGCCTCTCGCTCATCGGTTTGCCATCTCTCTGCAAGAACCGCGACTTCGTTACGTTCTGGTTAGAGTTAGGATGAATTTGGAAGCTACGCGGCAGCGAACCGCACTTTTGTGGCGACGTCGGCAGACCCTCGCACAGTTTGGTCAGCCAGACCGCTGGACGTGTCGGGCTGTCATTCCCGTCTAAGCTTTTCTCCTCCTGTAGACAACCTTCCCACACGTGCTGCAGGTTGTCATAGTTGCCGAAACCTTTGCTCGACTCTGTCGCTTCTTCCTGGTTAACGTCAGCCGTTTCACGTTCGTCGTTTCTTCTACCAGTCTTACATTCGTCGTTCTCCACGGTTTGAATTTCAGTCTGCTTCGCGATCTGATCCGGCCGAGTCGTTTCCTCGTTTCTCGACGACGAATTCTCTCGTATCCTGAGCGCCGTCTTGATCACCTTGCTCTCGGTCACGATGCTCTGTTTCTTGAACGTTTCGAACAACGCTTTCTTCTCCTGTACAACGTTGATCTTGTTCTTCGAACTGCTGTTGTCCGTCGACTTGTTGTTCTCGGTTTTGTTCAAATTATCGTAGAGCAGCTGCAGAGACGGTTGTTGATGATCGCGCGAGGAAGACAGCGAGTTCCAAGTGTTGTTCGTTTTCACGAATCGTTCGCGATGAGTCGACCTAACGCGCGATATCCTGTTGTTCACCGTATTGTCCGCGATATAGTTCGTGTTCTCCAAGTCGCTCTCGTCAGACGTGTCAGCGGGCACGCGTTTGTTGAAACGTTGCTGCTGCCTGACGTTGATTATGCTGTTCGTTCGTTGCTTCTCCAAAAGTTTTTGGAACTCCTGGTTCTGCATGAGAATATGGCCAACTATCTCCTCGACCGTTTGCGCTTGGGTCTGCTGCTGTTCGTTATTCTCTTTGGTTTCGGCCGGCGGAGAAGAGTTCGCGTGCTTGTCGTTAATCGTCTCGATGATCGTGCACTCAGTCTTGATCGTGGCTGATCCTGTATCGACCGTGTCTTCCTTTTGTTCTTCGTCAGACTGGTTAAGGCACACGTAGGATTGAAAACCTGGCTCGGATTTCCTCCTCCAACCGGTAAAGCGATCCTAAACACAATGATAAACGTCTCTCGTAACTTGCCCTCATGACTTTGATATGTGAAAGAAACGAAAATGATTCTTTGAAATTCTGAACACAAACTCCAGATTAAAGTAAAATATTTACGTTTTTGAGTACCGATAAAGTGGTCCTAAAAACACAATAATGTCTGACGTAAAAGAACAAAAAATCCTGGAAGCAAATTCTAAGTTACAGCAAAATATTTACGTTTTCAAATACCTTCACTTTTGATCCGCGTCCGTCTGAAGATTTAAATCCCTGTTCTCTGGAGTCGTTCATGCCGGAATACTCGGTTTGATTTTTCCGTGGCGATGCTGGAGAATCCTGTTGAGAATGAATGAATTAAATTCAGAATTAAATTGAAGAATACTGTGTACAGGATATGTCTGAAGCTGATCGTACCTCAGTTGTCGTCTCAGACCTTCTGCCACCTTTTTTAAACTTCTGTCTAAGTCCTGTCTCGGATCTTCGTCTCTCTTTCTCCTGTTTCCGTTTCTCCAAGTACTCTGGAGGTGCGGAGTACTGTTTCTTCAGCGACCCTTTATCTGCCAAAGTGTCATCTATCAACCGTTTTGTCATTATTATTGTCACAAAATCAACTAATATCACAGTGTAAATTGTGCAATTTAACGAGTAAACTCACCCTCCGATTGCGTTTGTCCAAGTTGCAAAACCAACTGCCTGGCGTGAGAAGGTATGACCGCGTTATAGTTCTCCAAAATCACCCTCTTTATTTGCAAAGTCCACTCTCTCTTCTGCTCCAAGTTTCGTGCCTGATACATGTAACATACGATAATGATAAATATGAAATATATCAATTTGACATTAAATTACTGTCAAAGATTATAGTAAACGGATGATCGTGTTACCTGAAGAGTATACTGTAGTCTAGGATTATCGAAAGGAATCACGTGGAAACTGAGCGGTTCGCCTGGTATGCTTTCAATGAGCATTAAATTCGAACACTGCCGACACACGATATGATAACGAAATATTAACAAACAAATTATAGAACTTGAAATGAAAGGTAGTGAAAGATATGTACCATGATGTGAGCTTTGTAGACTAGAAGCCCGTCTTCCTTCTTCTTGGTGAGCAGAATCATGCGATCGAATAAGAAAGCATGCCTGGGAGCTTTGGCGCCCCGCATTCGGAATCTTCCTTCGGCCACCAGCTCACCGCTGGTGGTTAAATCTGGGCCAGGCCAACCGTATAGAAGGGACTGGATCTCTTGAACACGCACCGCGTGCTCGTGCCTTCGTTTCATCGCGTTTATGTGCTTGGCAATATCAGTCATGGCAGCCAGCGCCGCCTCGATCGCCTTGCTACCTTCAGTCTCATTTTCTCTTACTTCGCAATCCGCTGCGTACTCCTTTGACAAATTCTGCATAACAACAGCGTGCAAATGTAAATCTTACGTCCATGCTGTTTTTTTTTTTTTTTTTTTTTTTATGTGGAGGTAAAACTGCAGGTACGATTTACCTCCAAAAGTAAGTGGTACTTGAGGATCCTTTGGACAGGTTTCAAAAGAAAGGATCCAAGAGGTAACGCGTGGCCCAAGGCTGCTTGCCTCTCGCGGAACGCGTGCGCAGTCTTTTCTTGACTCATAAGGTCAGTCAGAACGGAAACTGTGCTAAAATGAACTGTGTTAGTAACGAAGTTACATTTACAACAGGTGCACAGGGGAATGTAGCAAACTCTGAGTAGCATCAATTTCCAAATTTGGAAATTGTGCCGCTAAATCCTACCTTGGATAATTGGTGCAGTACTCTGTATACACTTTGAATCCTGACTTGTGCTTTATGAACGTGTTTGCCACGCAGACTGGATCCAGGCCACATTCCTCTATCTCTTTCAGGAACTCTCTGAAGTCAGATGTGTTAGATTATAGGCGAATAACTCTGTGATATTATAATGTTTCAATAACACGTACAAGTAGAAAGTTGTCTTACCTGTTGAATTCGAAGATATCTTCAATATTACTAAATAAGTTACTCAGCTGCATTTGATCCACAAACGATGCCGGGTCGTTCCTCCAAAATATAAGATAACCCTGGAAGAGACAATGAAATAAATCTCATGGTTTGGACAGATGAGATTGCATAGATGATGAGAGATGACGCTTACTTGAATGACCTGTCGCAGATGTTCCACGTATATCGCCTCGGTATCGACTATCTCAAGAAGCACCCTTTCCATAGGATTCCTATGGGGGTCGCAGTAACGTGGCCTGAGGCACAGAGAATTGAGCGGATCTTCCTCTGTACTGTTCCTTCTTTGATCGCTGCCATCGTCCCCTATTCGACAGTTGGTCTCCGACACTGTCACCACTCCGCTGTCTCCAGAACCTGTCAAGTACATTTTACAAAATATTTACACACATATTTGTTTCCAATAAAATACAGAAACATACACGGGACTTTCAGAACAATTGCTCGCGTTCCTTTTTTATTCTATCTAGAAAAATTACTCCACCAGTTGCAAAACAACTTTCAAGAAGACCTGAAAATCTCTGATAAAGATCAATTCTCTTTTCAAGAAATTACTTTGTCGGAAGCAAGTCCCCCATTCATTAGAAACTTGATATAAGAGTTCATCGTCGATGCAACGTCGAAACGTTCCTCTTTGCCCCAAACTGGTTCCAAGTGTCAAACAGCCTCTATTAAAATGAAAGTGAAAGAGCCGAAAGCGCTCGAAAGATTGTTCTTTTTTTTTTTTTTTTTTTTAATATGTAACGTGTTATCAGACGGTTGTTCGATCGTCGAAACGCGCACGTTCCCTCGCTATTCCAGCCTCTGTGGCAACGATTTCCTTTAACGATGCCCACGGAATGTCGAGAGAGAAGTTTACTGCCACCGCTATCATTACTGTCATTGCCGTTGATTACGCTACAAACCGGGGAGAAAGTCGAAGGCCTTGAAATCTGTTTCGATCGATACGTCTGGAATCGGGTTTCTAAAATATTTTCCAAGCTTCTTACACCTTCGTGTAATCCATCCTGTACGCTCATTTATTACCGTGCATTGTAGAACTCCGCAACGTCATTCTCTTCTAATAAATGGTGAAACAAAAACAGGAGTGTTAAAGGAATATCTAGAATGATCTATAGATCTACTTTTTGACGATGATGATAATTTGATCTGGCTTGTATCTTCCTCAGGGAGAATTACAGCAGTGTGGTTTTGGAGAGAAGAAGTGAGAAGAAGATGAAAAGAAGATGTATACGTCATCTTATATTGGATTATGCTGGAGATTATTTTATGATGAAGTGAATGCCATCAATGAAGCTTTTGATTGATGAGGGACATAAAATGAATTGGCTTGGGCGATTAAAATAGTACAAAACTGGTTGTTTAGTACAAGAAGATTCCATCAATTTAATCAACCAGTTTGTTTCTACTTTTGTAACAATTAATCCCATCTGAAGACAAAAGTGAAATATTAAATGTGACAAACTCTGATTTGAATACTTAAAATGGCTCAAAATTAGTTGATGCAAGAAGTTCAAGTATCATTTATGAAACTGTTCCAAGAGATTAGATGCAAAGAAGCGTAAATAAGCTATGACAAGATGAAAAATATAATACAATTATATAATCTGCATACCAATAAATTTATGATTTTAACCAACAGTTCAAAAATGATCAATGCAATGATCAATGTGTAAATAATCAACGAATGTAAAACTACGACTATAAAAATATAAAAATACCACGAAATTTCAAATCAACCATCACCCTTATCTTCTTTAATCTTATTAAAGTCATTCCTGCAAAATTCTGACCCTGAATTGGTCTAAAAGACTATTCTTTTAAATAAATTATTCGACACCATTAATCCATTTCTATGCTTCATCTGTTTCTGTCAACCTCATCAAACCTCTTTGAACCATAAAATTTCAAATCAACCATCCCTCTTATCTTCTTTAATCTTACTAAAATCATTCCTGCAACATTCTGACCCTGAATTGGTCTAGAAGACAATTCTATCATTTTTTTCAAATAAATGATTCAACACCATTAATCCACTTCTATGCTTCATCTATTTCTGTCAACCTCATCAAACCTCTTTGAACCATAAAATTTCAAATCAACCATCCCTCTTATCTTCTTTAATCTTACTAAAATCATTCCTGCAACATTCTGACCCTGAATTGGTCTAGAAGACAATTCTATCATTTTTTTCAAATAAATGATTCAACACCATTAATCCACTTCTATGCTTCATCTATTTCTGTCAACCTTATCAAACCTCTTTGAACCATAAAATTTCAAATCAACCATCCCTCTTATCTTC